ACTTAAATGCTATTTACATGGAAAAAAGAAGGTAAAAACCATGTCTCGTTTCAATGTCCATGTTTCTAATCACTGCTATAAATGATAATTACTGCCATAGCTGCTGAAGCATCTAATCCTTATAACTTTGATTTTTTTCTCATCATTTCACTCTCTTATATTTCCAATACTTTGAGACTTTTTGTTAAAGTGTTAGGTCTTCTAGAGACATCAGCTTCCAGAAACCCCTTTTTTCCTGCAAAGTAAATCCATAAGTACTAAAAGTTTTAATTTCGTCTTTGGCTATTGACATTTTTTTTCATGGTGGTGGTGCTGGGATTAGAACTCAAAGGTTTGCACTTGCAAGGCAGGTGCTCTACAGCTTGAGCCATGCCCTTCACCCTGGCTGGACAGTTTTCCTCACTTTCTATACCATATACCAAATTCTCCCATCTCCAACTGGGAAGGGAGATTTCATTCTGGATACTTAGGAATGCTAGAGGTACATTTAAGATAACAGAAGTTTTACTGTTTTGCATTTCCCACCACACTCATTTAAAAGTCACTATTTAGCAATCTTACAACTTGGTACCTAGTTAAGAATCTAGTACCAGGAAGTAAAAAACCTAACAAACAAGTCTATACAACAATTTATTGTTTTAAAACTCATGGATTTTACTGACATAAATCCCTCGAAGTCTATTTGTTTAGTTTTGACATGACTAACAATGCAGTTACCTGGATTCAAACTAGAGCACCACATTAAAAGTGAAGGAGCAAACCCACTGAGAGAAGGAAGAATTCAGAGCAGGCAGCCAACAATTATGAAAGAAACTAGAACACTGTTTAATATAATTTTTTTTGATGATGTTGTTTTTAAGTAGAACTGGGGCTTGAACTCAAGGCTCCACACTTGCAAAGCAGGCACACTACCACTTGAGCCAGACCTCCAGTCTATTTTGGTTTGCTTATTTTGGAGATGAGTGTCTCATTACTGTTTACCTGGGCTGGCCTTAAACCACAATCTCAGCCTCCTAAATAGCCAGGATTACTGTCGTGAGTCAAAAAAAAAAAAAAAAGGCAGGAAAATATGGGGTTATTAGTACAGGAATAATCCTCAAGCACAGGAGGATTTACAGGGCAGGCAATTCTTGCTTAAATTTCAAAATAACTTGTATTTGCTTGCACAAGTTGCCACCCAGAACTTCCTCATTTAGTTATTTGGACTGGGTCTACTTAGGAAGTCCCCCCATCCCACCACAACTATGCATGGCTTTTTTACTCATTAAAATTCACAGATTCACCCTTAATCCATATGGTGGTTTGACATCCTGGCTCTTCCTCATGGCTCTGTTTTGTAATCCACAACATAATATACAGAATACCTATTCGAGAATTTTGCTGTGTTTCTGACTTCTTGGAGCCACATCTGAGGGCCTTGGCAGACACTACTTCTCGTTCCATGCCAGATGTCCAGTGAGGCTCTTAACTTTCCAAGTATAGCTTGCTGGAGTAACTCCATATTTGCCTTCTGGCTGCTACTCCTCATGGCCCACCCACGTAATAAATATACCATCACCCCCATATTTGCCTTCTGGCTGCTACTCCTCATGGCCCACACACGTAATAAATATACCTCACCCCCATATTGGTCTGCAAAGCACTCTGTCATCAAACTCTGGTATTTCTATGGCAAAAAAAAAAAAAGCCTATTTACATAGATGGGATAAATAATAACTATAAATAGCAGTATCAATTCAGGCCATTTTTTGCTGCCAAATGAATTGAGGAACAAAAATTTTCAGAGCCTTTTGAACTTTAGAATTAAAGTTGAGGGATTTTCTATGTGTGTATCTGTATTTCCCCAAAAAAATTTTTTCAAAAAAAGTTTTAATGTTTCAATAGGCAATTTCAGTTTTCTGGCAGTTTTTTTTTTTTAACAGACAAAACATATAGCTATTATTTTAAGGTTAGTAAAAGTATATGTACAGCTTTAAATATTTACAATTATCACCTCTTCCAAGTTTTCCTTCTCTTGTATCACATAACCAGCTTCAATTTCTTAGGCAGGTAACTAATACAGTGTTTTAACATTGCTATATTATACATCTTTTCTAGAAATAAATATTTTTGAAGTTATTCATTAAAAAAAAAAAAAGCCTAAGTGTGATTCAGGAAACCCAGTTCAATCTGTTGGTTCAGAGTTCTAATTCCCCATTGGTTCTTACTGTAGACACGTTTGATTTCACATTTATACTGCTAATAATGCTGTCTGATCTAGTGACCACTGCTGTCACTTTTTAAACATCAAGTTTAAAAAGTTCTCAGCAGTAAGACAGACACCTGTGGCTCACCCCTGTAATCCTAGCTATTCACCAGGCAGAGATCAAAAGGATTTGCCCCAGGTAAATCTGGAAAAAAACCCATCACACACAAAAAGGCCAGCAGAGTGGCTCAAGCACTAAGAGAGCTTGCCTAGTAAGCATGATGCCCTGATTCAAATCCCAGCACTGCCAAAAAAAAAAAAAAAAAAGTTTTGAGTAAAGGAAACTTATTGTTACTTTATGATGAATATCATGAACGATATATTAAAGACATTTACTACATGAAAAAAACTTTCCAGACCAGATCTAAATTAAAACTAAAAATCAAAAAGTTGTTAAAAAAACATAAAATCCTTTCTCTATCTATACTTCCAAGAAGCAAGAGCTGTTGAAATTATAAAACCTTGTTACCAGGTAAATGTAGCAGAAAACCATGTTCCTCTTATATCATGACACGTCTAGAATAGAGAGACATTTACGGATTCTACATTTAGAAAAACAGAATTTAACATATTTTCTGCCACAAAATATTTAGTGGTTAAACATGGTTGGTTTCAATAAAACTATCTACAAAAACTGAGAAAACAGATTTGACCCGCGCAAGCATGGTCTATTCCTGTTGTAATGGATAGAATTTAACACTAGAATTAAACAATGGACCCAATTAAATAATACAAAAGCAAGTCTTTACTAATTTCTTGAGCTCCAGTTAATTCACTTTTAAATGAAGTCTAGTAACAGCACCTTCACATCTGCTTAAAAACTTAAGTGTTGCCAGGAGCCACCACTTGTAATCGTAGTTACTCAGGAGGCAGAGATCAGGAAGATCAAGGTTGCAAAGTCAGCCCAGGCAAATAGTTCTCCAGACCCTATCTCAAAAAAACCCATCACAAAATAAAAGGGCTGGTTTTGAGTTCAAGCCCCAGAACCAGAAAAAAAAAATCAGAAGTGTGTTAGGGTGTTTTTTTTTCCTTTTACTCTCTCTTACTCCCCTCCCCTAGAACTCTTTTTTTTTAAATAAGAGAACTATGTTTTCACTAAAGGATCATCCAAACTTTTCAATTATACTATGGGATAATTTATGAACCACACAAGACTCAATACGGCTTCTTTTTTTATTAATGTGGGCGTCATTAAACCAGTTAACCAGAATTTAGAATAAACGAATTTTAGAATTGAAAAATCCGTAACTTAATCTCTTATTTTATTCATAATTGAGAAATGTTCATAAAACCATTTCCATTCCTTTTGTGAAATAAAACTGCAAAGAAGGAAGGAATGAAGGAAGACAGAAGGAAGATAAGTGCACTGGATAAAAATCAAGTAATTTTTTTCCACAGGCAATGTACTCATGAACTTAAGTTAATATAGTAATCTTATCTACTTTAAATTTTTAGGAGGTACTTTGGAGTTATGTATTTTCAGTCACTAGAGTCAGACACTTAAATAAAGAAAAAGGAACAAAATAGTGACCTGATCTAAGAACCGGAAGTGGTACTGGAGACGCGTAAAGTCAGTTTCAGGTCTCTCATCAGTAAGGTCAGAAGTCTTTTCCTAGTCTATAGCTGTCTACTTAGAATAACTGCATTGCCAGGCACAACAAATCCCACCTCCACTCTTCTCCAACCGTCACTATTCTTACACAAGACCTGCCAGATTCCCATTTTATGAAAGCAGAGAGTCGATGCTTTTAACACAGAAGGCGAATCTCGCATGACTTTCTCGAGGACACACTTCCCAACACGTTCGGGAAAGGAAGCGGGCGGTGCTCGCCTTCGCGCCCCACGACCGCGGGGCTCTAGCGACACTGGCGCTTCCCTAACCTTAAGCCTCCTCCGGGGTTCACGACCCTCACAGTGCGCAGCTGCACCGCGGGACACTTTTACCCATCCCCACCCCACCCCCAAAAAAACTTAAAAGACTCCTCTGGGCCGTAAGTTCCCTACGGGCGCCGGGTCTGCACAAGGAAAGCGCTAGCAATCTGTGGACCACACGGGTGGCTGGATGGACGTACGTACAAGAAGACAGAGGAGGGAGCTCGACTCTTATCTGACCCGACAGTTCGAATTACGCTCCCTGCCCAGGCGCCCATTACTGTAATTAACCAGTACCATAAAGCGCTTTATAAAGTGTCTGGAGATTTACAGTCACTGGAGACGACGTGGCGCTGGCCGACCTCAGGGGAAAGGCGTTTTGGGTTTTTTTTTTTTGCACTGAGCAGTTGCCACCCAGCCAGGCTTTCTTCCCCGAGACGTGGACGCGGTCCTTCGCACGGAGGCGACATCCCGGGGACTTGTCTGAGGGACACCCGAGGCGCACGCACAGCGGGACAGCGCCTCGGCCCCAGTCCGCTCCGCTCGGGAGGACTCAGGCCCGGCAGGCTCCATCTGACCTCCGACCCCCGGCGCCTAGCCCGCGCCCCGGCTCGCCCGAGGACACAGCCCACCCCTACCTACTGTGCTCCGGGAAGCCTCTTTGCTGACCGCTTGGTCGCCGCCACGGCCCCGGGCCCACCACCTCTCACCCCTCGACCTGTCCCCACACTCGGGGTCCCGGCGTCCTCAGCGACCACCATGGGGATCCCCGAGCCGCTCAACTCATAGGACGGGAGGAGGAGCCCGGCGCGTTGTCCCTCCTGGCAGCTTAGCAACCCAACGTCGCCCCTCTCCCGGGATCCCCAACTGTTTGTCTCAGCACCTGTCCGGACCCCGTCAAGTTCTCGGCTCTTCAGCGTTGTAATGAAGCACCTGGAATTGCCGGCGGGTGCGACTGAGCGACACTGAATCGGGCGGGGCGGGGCGTGCGCGGGGCGGGGCCGGAAGCCGGCAGGCGTGGCGGGAGCCGGCCAATAGGAGCGCGCCCAGAGCCGCGCCGCCGCGCCCGTGCTGAGGCCCGGCTAGCGGGCCGCGGAGCCATCGAGCGCCCACTCGGGCAGGAGTGACTGCTCCACCGCCGAGAAAACGATCCAGCCGACGAAGGCCAAAGTTGGGTCCAACTGTGCCTTTGCAGCCTCGAGATTCCGGCCACAGCTATTTTCGTCTGTTTTTATCTCTAGTATAAGTCCGTGGGTGCAGCCTTGAGGCATTGGAAGACAGCTGCAGCCTGGAGAAATTCAGGCAGGGCCAGTGCTTTAGGTGTAGGTATTGCAAAATTGCACGTGAGAGGAACCCTAAAGAGCCTTGACTGGCTCAATCAAGGTCACACAGTGAGTCGAGGTCTACTGAGCTTTTTGGCTCTGAATCACGTGCGGTTTTCCACCATTATCAGGTGTTTAACTTTTCAGTTTTTATTTTGAAACTCAAGCTTACAAAAAGTTGCAAATATAGTACAAAGAATATTTTTTCCTGAGCTGTTTCAATTGCTGACCCCATGCCACGTTGTCTCTAACTAAGCACCTTCCACATAATCACAGTATTGTAAGAGGCGCTCAAACTGCTTTTGCTGAAAAGCACTGACTCCTTACTTGGGTCCACAAATGAACTAAAAACGAGGAGCTTGGCATTGCCTCCATTTTGTATCTATCTTTGCTCTAAACTGTTCTCTACAGTCACTTTGCAATCACTTTGGATTCCAGAAAAGACAGAATTGATAACATCTTTATGACAAGGAACCAGAGCCACCTGGAGCTACCACCCTCCCAGTTAGAATAATTCACATCCCAAACCAGAGTAATCCTTTAAAACAGGAACCAGATTACTCCCTCCAGGTGATAACTTCCCAAAACTGGACCAGACCACCTGCCTGACCAAAACTGCTTGGCCAGTCATGACCACATCTGTGACTGGGACTGTTCATCTCTGCATACCTTTGTCCCCTGCCCCCAGTTCTTTTGCCTATTTAAACCTATAGCTCATATCTATACCCCAAAGATGGCTAAAGTTGATCTGAGTGCTTACTCTGCCTTTTCCCACAGCATGTCCTGAGCTGTGTGATAAATCTCCTTTCTCTACCTTCACCATGAGTCTTTATTTGGCATATAGGGGCAAATGGCCATACCTGGCATATGGAATCTCAGGAGTTTGGGACTTGGGTCCAAATTCCGGTTTCAGCTTTTGTGAGCTGTGCCAGGAGAAAATGTGTCCTTTAGGCACTAACCATCTGCAGCTAGACGACCCTGGCAGAGAGGAAAATCAGTCTCCTGAAGCTGCTGGAATTGCTTTTATTCCTGGGACCTTTTCTCATCCTTCCACACCAGCCAGCATTGGCTGCTTTTTTGCCACCATTCAGTGAAGCAGAGAAATGAGTTTAAATCCTTTTTAATGGGACCGCATGGCCTCTTCAGTAGTGCACAATTGCACCTGGCTTTTCTTGTAGATTATACAGGCCATCTGTTTTGACAAGAAATCTGAATTTTTGTGATCTTTGCCTTGTTCCTCTGTCATTTGAGCTCTTTGGGGTATTTGAAGTTTAGGCCATTTGTGTTTGTAGATGGAAAAACTTAAAGAACAAGTAGTAAAGACGTGACTAAGCACAGTATAAGGACCAGGGTGTGTGGGAGATCTCTCTTGCAATTTGTGTAACCGTGGAACATACTAAGTCTATAACAGCTTAAGAAGTAAAGCACTAAGTCCATCTTGCCGCCTAGGGAGAATTCTAGCTGACTAGTCTACTAAGAAAGAGAAAGACATTGTCTAAAAAAGTGCACTTGAAATTAATGTAATTGTTTTTGTGTATCATTGTTTGTATTTTATGTGTGTCTATTACTGTATGTCTAGAACAATTGGCTTATTAGAGGCTAAAAATCTGATAGCTATGGCAACAGTCTTATTGGAAACTGAGACCAGCTTTTCTAGCACTGACTCTTACTTCAGCTATCAAGCCTCTCAAAATGAGTCCTAAAAGAACAGTATCTCAATCTGCTTATGGAATTTCAAGAAATAACTGACCAGTGTACTTGTGACCACTAAATTAATTTTTGCTGTTAAATAGACATTTATGGCATGCCTAACTTAGAACTTTTTGCATATGCATATATTTGTATGTGAACATCATTGGGATGAATGTTTACTGTAAAATTAATATAAAAATTGTTGCTTCTGTTCTGTTTCCCCCATCTCTTTTGCTGCCACTTTAAGAAAAGTTTTCCTAAAGTTTGCATTTTAACCAGGTCTAACTAAAATACAGGCATTCAAGAATTATCCTCTGCCTTAGGACTAAAGAGAAAGACTATAATGAAACGACTGTTTCATTTTGTCGTAAGTGTAATTTGCTTTTCTTCTGGGTCTATATTAAAATATAAGGCTAATAGAGTATTTTATTTTATTGGGAAAAGAATAAATTTGTCTAAATTCAACATTTTGTAAAAATAATTTCAGTGTGCCAATTAGAAAGGTCTTAAAGCTTCCAAAAGTTTGTGTATGTAATTAAGTTGACTATAATTTAAAGTTGCCTAAAGAATTTTCTAAGGTCAAAATTTAGTGTACTGAGTAAAATTAAAACTGAATTCTCTATGTCTATAATAACAAGGCTATCTTAGTATTGTTCTGCTCTTAGTAACATTTATAAGGAACTGGCTTAAAGAAAAAATTTTGCCAAAATAATTACTTGTGTTTTCTGTAGATCTTATCAGCCTTTTGACTACTTAAAAAAAAACTAAACCTTAACTAAATCAGAGTTTACCTAAGTACCTGTTCATTTGAAAGTCTCTTAAATGACCACCTTATAACTGAAGTAAAACAACTATTATTCTAAGTAATTCTAACACAATTAGCACACTATATAGCTGTGACTAAAAGTATATAAAGCTATGTGCCTAGACTTTATCTAAATAATGTACAAATATACATAGAGTTAAAAATTTGTGAGCATAGTACATCTAAAATGACTAGCCAATGCTCTCTATTAAAAATGCGTAACATATAAACCTAGTCAATAGAATCTTCGATATTTCTGTTATTTGTAACCAGTAATATTTGGGGGAAAAGCCCCTGCCATTTGGGCAATCCTGCTACTTAAAATGTAGCCTATGATTATTTGTCTTAACTAAATAAGGGTTGCTGTGTATATAAGATGCACTAATTGCATTAAAAAAATAAGGCTATTTAGGATTACAGGCACTATCTCCCTAACTTGTGAAAGATCAAAGTTTTGACTTATATCAGTACTGTACAAATGTGATCTTACCTAGCCAAAAATTCTAAATTTTACTCCAAAAGGCTGAATTAATAGGTATATCTGATATCTGTGTAGCTGTGATGCTAATTGTTGCTAGCTCCTTTGTAATGTTCCCAAATATATAAGCGTTCAGAAATGCGAATCTTAGAAAAAACTTTATCATATAGGTGTTCTCCAAATTAAAATTTTAGTGATGCTAGACTTTTGCAGGCTTGTGTCTATGTGTTCCTAATTGCAACAAGGAACATTTAGTGTTACTATTGTAATGCTGGCAGTCATAATTTATTATCCTAAAATGCTGACTCCTAATAACCTTAAGTTAAATACTTATTTGAACAGCGCTCCCCCTTTACCCCCACATGTAAGCAATCACCTATAGCTGCTCTCTGTTTCTTTGGAGGATGCTGCCCTTACCCCATTAAGGCTCTGAAACTGCTAAATGAGCCATTTCAACCCCTACTCCCTTTCTTCACTCCTGTTCCCATACCGTGTGCTCATGCTCAGTCCTCAACCCCTCCCCATCCTGCTCAGGTTCCAATATTCCTTCCAAGCCCTTCCCTGGGCATCTTTCCATTATATATATATAGAGAGAGATTAAGAGACAGAGAGAGAGAGAGAGAGAGAGAGAGAGGAATATATATGTAGTATATATATATACACATATATATAGGAGAATATATGTGTGTGTGTACACATACACTATACATATGTGTATATGTCTCTCTCTCTCTCTCTTTTTTTTTTTGGCTGTGTGGAGTTTAGACTCAGGGCCTTACACTTGCTAGGCAGGCACTCTTTCCACTTGAGCCACTCCACCAGCCCTTTTTTGTGATGGTTTTTTTTCCAGATAGGGTGAGCCACCAGTGCCTGGCTAGTTGTATTATTCTTTATATACCCTACCCATATACATATTATGTAAATTAGTCATATCATATCAGATATGAGTTATATATTATTATTCTTTACAGTAATCTATACATACACACATGGTATATTCACACACATATTGTATGTATATATGTGCACATGTGTATACATATATAGTATAGATTACTATAAAGAACAATATATTATAAACAACTAATATTACATATATAGTGTATATGTATATAAGCTATTGTAAAATGCTCTAAGAAAGGAGTAATTACTATCAAGTACAGTGGGGAGGCCCATCAGATTTAAAGAAAGAGATGACATTTAAAATATGCTTTGATGCTGGGTAGTCCTAGCTACTTGGGAAGCTGAGAAGGGAGGATTTCTTGAGCCCAGGAGTCTGAGGCCAGCCTGGGCAACATAGAGAGACTGTCTCTAAATACATACATACATACATACACACATACATAAATACATAAAATGGGCTTTTTGTGATGCTGAGGATCAATCATGCTGAGTGGTACACCATCTGAGCTACATTCTCAGCCCATAAAACAGGCTTGGAATGATGCATAAGAATGGAGTTTCCCAGTGTGGTGACTCAAACCTGTAATCCTAGCTACTAGGGCAGTGGAGAGCAGGAGGATCATGGCTTGAGGTCAACACAGGCAAAAAGTTCTAGAGATCCCATCTCAACTAATGACTGGGCATGGTGGGGTACGCCTGTCATCTCAACTATTTAGGGAAGCACAAATAGCAGGATTGTGGTCCAGATCAGCCCAAGCATAAAGCGAGACTCTATC